ATATCCCCTTGTTCTGTTCAAAAGACAGCCTCCTGGTCTATGTACAGGTTACTCATGAGTACAATTAAGTGTTCTAGAATTCCCATTCTTCTCAATGTTATCCATAATTTGTTACGATCCACACAGTCAAATGCTTTTGCATAGTCAATAAAACACAAGTAAACATCTTTCTGGTATTCTTTGCTTTCAGCCAAGATCCATCTGACATCAGCAATGATATCCCTTATTCCACATCCTCTTCTGAATCCAGCTTGCATTTCTGGAAGTTCCCTGTTAATATATTGCTATAACCATTTTTGAATTATCTTCAGCAGGAGTTTACTTGTGTATGGTATTAATAATATTTTTTGATAATTTCCCCATCTTTGGGATCACCTTTCTTTGGAATGGGTACAAATATGGATCTCTTCCAGTCAGTTGGCCAGGTAGCTATCTTCCAAATTTCTTGGCACAGACAAGTAAGTGCCACCAGTGCAGCATCCATTTGTTGAAACATCTCAATGGGTATTCCATCAATTCCTGGAGATTTGTTTTTTGCCAATTCCTTCAGTGGAGCTTTGACTTCTTCCTTCAGTACTATTGGTCCTTAATCATATGCCACTTTCTGAAATGGATGAACATTGACCAATTCTTTTTGCTACAGTGACTCTGTGTATTCCTTCCATCTTTTGATATTTCCCACATCATTGAATATTTTGCCCATATAATCTTTCAGTATTGCAACTTGAGGCTTGCATTTTTTTCTTCACTTCTTTCAGCTTGAGAAATACTGGGGATATTCTTCCCTTTTGGTTTTCTAACCCCAGGTCTTTGCACATTTCATTATAATAATTGACTCTGTCTTCTCAAGCTGCTCTTGAAATCTTCTGTTCAGCTCTTTTATCTTGTCATTTCTTCCATTTACTTTAGGTACTCTCCATTCAAGAGGAAGTTTCAGAGTTTCTTCTGACATCTACTTTGGTCTTTTCTTCCTTTCCTGTCTTTTTAATGATCCTTTGCTTTCTTCATGGATGATGTTCTTGATGTCATCCCACAATTCCTCTGGTTTTTGGTCATTGGTGTTCAGTGCATCAAATCTATTATTTAGATGGTCTCTACATTCAGGAGGGATATAATCAAAGTCATATTTTGGCTCTTGTGGACTTGTTTTAATTGTCTTCAGCTTCAGCTTGAACTTGCATATAAGCAATTGATGGTCTGTTCCACAGTCAGCTCCTGGCCTTGTTTTGGCTGAAGATACTGAGCTTCTCTATCGCCTCTTTCCACAGATGGAGTCAGTCTGATTTCTGTGTACTCCGTCTGGTGAAGTCCATATGTATAGCCTCCATTAATGTTGTTGAAGAAAGGTATTTACAGTGAATAAGTTGTTCGTCTTGCAAAATTCTATCACGTGATCTCCAGTGTCATTTCTATCAGCAAGGCCATATTTTCCAACTACTGGTGATTCTTCTTTGTTTCCAACTTTTGCATTCCAATCAACAATGATAATCAATATATCTTGATTGCATGTTTGGTCAATTTCAGGCTGCAGAAGTTACTAAAAATCTTCAGTTTCCTCATCTTTGGCTTTGGTGGTTGGTGCATAATTTTGAATAATAGTGGTATTAACTGGTCTTCCTTGTAGATGTATGGATATTATCCTATCACTACAGCATTGTACTTTAGGACAGATCTTGAAACATTCTTTGTGTCGATGAATGCCACGCCATTCCTCTTCGATTTGTCATTCCCAGCATAATAGACTGATTAAAAATGGCCAAAACCAGTCCATGTTAGCTCACTAGTACCTAGGATATTGATCTTTATGAAAATTATTTCATTTTTGACAACTTCCAATTTTCCTAGATTGATACTTCGTACATTTCCATATTCCAACTATTAATGGATGTTTGCAGCTGTTCCTTCCCATTTTGAGTCGTGCCACATCAGCAGATGGAGGTCCGGAGAGCTTTACTCCGTGCACGCCGTCAAGGTTGACTCTACTTTGAGGAGGCAGCTCTTCCCCAGTCATATTTTGAGTGCCTTCCGATCTAAGGGGCTCTTCTTCTGGCACTGTATCAGACAGTGTTTGAGGGCTATTCATTAAGCTTTCCAGTAATATATCAGATAGTGTTACACTGGTATTTATAAGCTTTTCACTGGCCAATTTCCTTGAGAAGTGGATGGTCCTTTCCTTCTTCCAAGTCTGTCTTAGTCTGGAAGCTCCACTGAAACCTGTCCACCATGGGTGACCCTGGTGTATTTGAAATACTGGTGGCGTAGCCTCCATCCTCACAGCAACATGCAAACCAGCACAATACGTCAAACTGACAGACGAGTGAAAGCCGAATGGTTCTCAAACTCAAGCAGGCATCAGAACCACCTTGGATGTACTCCCTTTAGAGTGTCTTGTAAGGTTGGTCTGGTTTTAACAAATTCCCTTAGTTTCTGCTTATCTGGAAATCTCCTAATTTCACCATCATA